TCCCTTGTTTTATCCTGTAATACTCTTTGCTTTCCCTATTTCTCACAGGTAATAGACATGTACGCAAACAGACACTCATATATACACATTGTTATTGTTGTTAGATGCCATTGAGTCCGTTCCAACTCCTAGTGACCCCAGGCACAACAGAACGAAACACTGCCCGATTCTGTGGCATCCTTACAATTGGAGATACGTGTAAACCCATTGTTGCAGCCATTGTGTCTGTCCGTCTCGCTGAGCATCTTCTTCTTTTTGGCTGACCCTTTGCTTTCCTCAGAATGACTTCTTTCTTCAGGGACTGGTCCCTCCTGATAACATGCCCAAATTATGTGAGATGAAATCTCACCATCCTCACTTGTAAGGCACGTTCTGGCAGTATTTCTTCCAAGACAGATTTGTTTGTTCCTTTGGCAGTCCATGGTATAGTCAACATTCTTTTTATATACACATACACATATATATTATAGCACAAACATACACACTGTGGTAGTTCACTTTGTGTGTCAACTTGGCTGGGCCTGCTTGAGTAGCTAGCTGGGCAGCTGGATGTAGTATTCCCCATGATGAGACTGGTAATCAACTCCATGGGGGAATCTACTGTGAGCAGCTGAGTAGCTGCCTTAGGACTATGGTCTGCTTCCTGCATATAAGGAGAAGCTTTGGGGAATGGTCTTTAGCTTATTGCACACTTGAACCCTGCATGTACCTGTGTCGTCGTTCAGCAGTCTGCCATGCTCTGCCAACCTTGGGACTTTCAATGGACTTGAATTAATGGCCTGCCACGTAGTTTGGTAACATCGGGGCTGTGCCTTTTTAGTTGTCAAACTTGGGCTTGTTAGCCTCAGCAGCCAGTAGTTACCTGAGTGAAGAGATGTCTCTGGCTTCAGTGGGCTGGGAACAAGAGGCAGAAATGAATCCCAAGGTTGAGGGGCTTTCACACAGCCCCTAGAGCCAGGCACTTTGAACTCAGACTTCTAGCCTCCCGGACTGTAAGAGAATAAACTCCTGTTTGTTCAAGCCATCCCATTTGTGGTATATTCTTGTCAGAGCAGCACTAGGTAACCAGAACACACGTATATATTATAACACAAATAAATATACAGGCATATATGTATTTGTATATTTAAGTGTTTAAAACTATTTCTCTCCCTAAATAGAAAGCTCTATGAGGTTAGAGATCATAATAATTGTTAATTGCTATTCCAACGCATTAGTAGGGACTCTATGCAAAGTAGCTAGATTAGTTAAAATAATAAATGTTGAAGATGATGATGATGATAATGAGGCTTCTACTTGTTCACGTGTCTGTTCCTTCATGTAACTGGAGCATAGCTCTATATGAACACATTACATATGGTTGTAATTATTTTTTAACTTGCCAGTATCTCCCATCAGACAGTAATCTCTTCAGGGACAATTCTCTGTGATATGTGTTACTGAACATCTAGCATTCAACACAAATGCTAATGCAGAACACATTGTAATTCATAAGTGTTTATGGAACTGAAACCTGAGCTCTCAAAGTGGATTTGCAGCAGAAGGAACGGTTATGAGGAAGAGTCCTGGATATGTGGGCAGCATACTGGGTTTGCACAACCTTAACCTTTGTTTCAATAGTTGCAGTGTAAAGGAATCTAGGGTAGGGTGAGTGGCAATTAAACCAGTCTTTCTCTGTGTCTAAATGGAATAACTCACTCACTATGTGCACACACGTTAAAAGACATTTGTACCTCAAGAGGCACAAGAGTAGTGAAAACACTGTGTCACGTCTCAGGAGCTGGCCCTGTCAGGTTTTAGTGGGGGACCACTAGAGATATAGAGGAGATGGTGCCTGAAATACTTTGAATTATTAGAGAAGAATTAATGAAAATGACTGTAATCTGTATTAACTGCTTTATCACATGCCTGTGTATAGTTTTGGTTAAAAATTACTTAATAAATGCATTTATTTTGTAATTAAAACATTTTAAGATATCAATCAAGCCTATGATGGTGAGGAGACAATGAAAGGAAGCCTTAATAATTCAAAGTTTATGAAATGTTTATGAATGTCATCCATAAGTAAGAAGTATAGCCAGAATGCTCCTTAGACATGTAGATGGTGAGACTTTATCTTGCTTACTTTGATCATGAGAGCAGGAAGAATCAATCTCTGGAGAAGCCCTCGAGGAGACAGATTGACACAGTGGCTGCAACAATGGACTCAAACATGGCCACAATTGTGAGGTTGGCACAGAACTAGGCAGTGTTTCGTTTTATTGTATGTAGGGCTACTATGAATCAGAAACAACTGGACAGCCCCTAACAACAACAAAAACAACCACCACGTATGAATGCCCCTCCAAAATCCATGTGCATGTTAGAAATCGCTGACCTTATTTCTTCTCCCTAACTATTATATGTAACATGTATTGTCGAGTTGTTTATTTATCAAGTCCTATTTTGTGTGTCATAACAGTATATGATATATGGTATAATCTTTTTATTAGAAAAAAGAACAATCAAAGAAAGTGGTGTGGTGTAGTGGTTAAAAGCTTGTTTTCAAATCCCCACTCTTATTTTAGTTGTCTGGTCATGGGGAAGTTTCTTAATCTCTTTGAACTTCAACTTTCTTCTCTGTAATACTGAGGCTACTAATCGTATTAATGATAATAATCACTAGTTTGAGGATGCATTTGTTGGACCACCCAGGTGGCCATGGTTCTCTCCATTCCTCCCTCTGCTAGCATGGTTAAGCCTCAGAACAAAACACCACTCCCACTGAAGGTTCATGTTGTTAGTTACTCAAAGCAAACAAACAAACAAAAAAACTCACTGCAACCAAGTCAATTTCCACTCCTAGCAGCCCCTTGTTGGGTTTCCAAGGCGGTGTCTCTACGGAAGTAGATTGCCCATTGCAGGGTAAAAAAGATAAAAGTAGTCAAACAGTCTGGAGGTATTAAAATAACTGGGTCCATACTGCTCAACCCTGGATAATTCCTGGGTTTTAAATATTCTTTAGTGCTACCTTTCTGTCTTAGTTTCTCTCCCAGTTTCCTCAGCTGAGGTTCTATAGCCAGCACATAGTAACATTAAGCTCACATCCCCCCTAAATGGACCTACCGGGGAGACCTGTATAGCAGGTAGGCTTCTACTGTGTCTCTCAACCCAGGAAGCCAGGTGGAGGGCTTGTGTGGAAGGTTTTTTGTTGTTGTTGTTGTTGTTGTTTTGTTTCTTGGTATTCATTAGGACAATTTCCAGAAGTCAGGGGTGATTGGAGTGTCCCGTGAGTGCCCTATTTGAGTCCCTCATCCATGATACAAAATGCGGTAGTCATGGAAGAGTTGGCCTCTCCACCTAGATAGCTTTTGAGCCAGTGGGACCACTTGCATGTTGCATGTTGGCTGCTTATTATAAGTAATAAAAGCTACTTTCCATGTGCTATTATGAGGATGGCACAGGATCAGGCTCTGATCACAAAGATGCTATGTCTATGGAACAATCCATGTTAGTTATGATCTTCCTTTTGTTAATGGCCTCCTGGCTATCTAGAAATTGGGGAGAACCTATAAGAACCGTGCAATCTGGTATGATACATATTAGATGTAGCTCAGCAAAGTAGGGTCTGTTGGTTCTGAGGCATCCCAGATATGACTTGTTTATAGTATTTATATATGGGTTATTGTCTGCCACACAATATTCAAAGCCCTTTAAATTTATTAACTCATTTGATCCTCACATCAATTCTGTGAGGTATGCAGTATTATTATCACCACTTTAGAGACAAAAAAACTGAGGCAGAGAGAAGTCAAACAATCTGCCTAAAGTTACACAGCTAGTAAGCAGTGGAACCAGATGACCCAGTTGTTTTTGTTCCATAAAGTAGGCTTTTAGATCACAGCTATCTTTTAAGCATTATTTAATTTGTGAATGCAGAACACTCAATATGTTTGGCATATTTAAAAGTTTAACAAATTTTAGCTCTCATTATACCACATTAAAAATGCCAAAGATCATTAAGGAGTGAGTTTTATGACCATATTATGAAGTACTAATGTGTGAAAAAAATAAAAAGAGAAGAATTAGGGTTTTTTCTCTCCCTCAACAATGCCCTGAAAATTAACATTGTATGATAATAAAACAATAGCAAATTTTTATTTCATATTAATACTTCTATAAGAATTATGTGGGTATAAATGTTAAGAGTTAAAAATGAATGAAAGTCTGTTGATTAAAAAGGAAAAATAAGTCATTTAGTAAAATTTAAGTGCTCTATTGTACTTATTGTGCAAATACACTTCTAATACTGAAACTGTAACCATGTGGCTATAAAGTAAATGCAAACACATGCAGACATGTCAGAGTGATTCATACAGCATAGTAATGTGTTTTTATCATACAGTCTTTGTTCTATTATTATCCCATATCTTTATTTTAAAGGAAATAACCACTGCTTATAATATTCACTCTATATAATTTTATTATTTTTAGGATTTGAAGGCTACCATAAACATTAGAAAAACCTTTCAGAGGATGCTTTGAAGGAGGATATCCTAGAACTAGACACTGAAGAATTCTAATAAGTCTCTAAATACATTAACAAACATTTGTTGAAAAACTACTCTATGCTGGGCACTGTGTGATTCTCAATATCATTGACCATTGTGAAATACGTTAATCATCCTGGGTGTGTATTGTTGTACAGCAAGATAAGTTGATCCACAAATATATTTGGAAAAACGTTTTCAAATAAAAAAGTGAAAGTACTTATTTATCCAAGAGTTAGGAAGTTAAACTATATCTCTTGAAACTAGGCTTTTGTACTTTTCATCTTCTCTAAGGCATCTTTTAACCAGCCTTTTAAGAGTAAAATGTGATTTTTGAGACAGGAAGGTAAACATATCCAAAGTTTAATACAGTAAGAATAAGTATGCTAGATAAATAAGATCTCTACAAATCCAATACTTATCATCCCACCCTTCCTGGAGAATAAAAAGTTTTGGTAGAAAATGAACAGATTAAGCAGGTGATCCACCACTTTCCAAAATTTTCTGGACTATTTTCTTGACCATCGGAGCTTCTGGGTCTAGGCAGATTTTCCTCCCATCCTTTAGCGTGGCTCTGCAAAAAGAGAACAGAGTTATCCACGAGTCCATGACTTGACTCTCAGAAAGAATCAACGGGACTGGAGAAAATAGTATAGGTGCAGAGGAGTGCATGAAGATGGAGGGCTTCCTTTAATGAGTCAGTAGTGTAGAAGCAAGAACTTACATGACTTCGACTTTGTGGCAATGGGCTCCTGCCCTGTTCACCTGCAAACCATTGATGTAACTGGGATGAATTCCAGAAGTAGTCTTCACACACATGCAGCGTAGTTCAGTACTCAGTGGAACTACTTCACAGTTAACTGAGGAAGAAATTGTGACTGTATTAAAATCTACTGCCATCAAGGTGATTCTGACTCATAGCAACCCTGTAGGACAGAGTAGAACTGCCCCATAAAGTTTCTAAGGCTGTAAATCTTTATGAAAGCAGAGTGTCTCCTCTTTCTCCTGCGGAGCAGCTGCTGGTTTCTTTCAGACACCTGAACTATTGATTTGTTCCCAGTTCCCTTTATTGTAAATTGAGGATAATTTATCTATCTCATAAGCGCTGTTATGAGAAAATGTGCTGTTAAAGTCTTTGGTAAGTCTTTAGTAAGGCTGGCGGAGGGCCTGGCTACCCCTGAGTGTGGCTCCCCTTCGAGTTATTAGCATAACCACATTCTCCTTCCCCGGGAGCTCTAGCACTGTCTTGCCCACAGATGCAGCCATAGCAGAAATAGCCGCAGCTACAAGAAAGCAGCACTTCTACCTTCAGCTTTCTCCAGTTTTCTCTTGCTTTCTTGGCTGGTGCATGGACTTAGTGCAGACAGGAGCAGTGTCAATAGCAGCAACACTTGCAGGACACCAAACGGCCTAGCACTGTTCCAAGAAGGGGTGCTGTTGCATTTGACGCTCATGGTGAAGATTTGGCTAGTTGGTCCCCAGAGCCAAGAGACCTCAGTGTGAGGGTGAATTGATGCCTAGAAGTCATCAACTTAGTGACTCTTCAGGTTTTTATATACACTCCCTCAAGGATAGCAAGGAGGGAGCGGAAGAGGAGGAGGAGGAGGAAGAGGAGCAGGAATGAGGGTATGTAGTGATACTTCTCAGGGTGGCTGAATTGTGCCCAACACAGATAAACACCAGGCAAGTTGGAGTTCCTGTTAAATTTCATTTTGTGGTTCCCTTCCTACTCCCATTTTCCCTTTCTCAATATCTACCTCACATATATACAAGCCTCTACTTAAGGAAGTGAAAACTAGATTGAAATAAGGTATGTATTTTCTTTGTAAAACTATGCAACGGTATTTCCTCCCTTTTCCATGGTGCAATTTGTAGGCTTGTTAGACACTTTGTGAATACCTGAGTCTCCTGTGCAGAAGCTACAGGGTTCAAAATGCCAACATTTTGGTTGGCAGCCCAATGCTTTCATCTCTGTGCTGCCAGCACTCCCTGTGCAATACACAGTAGGTTATAAAAAATATTAGTAAACAAATCAATAAACATGTAGTACATGAAAGGAAGTTTCCCTTTTCTTTGTAATCAGCTATAGTTCCCAGACCAAATTCCTCAAGTATTTGTGGTAAAGAATTTTTGGAAAGCTAGGAATTAGAGATGAGAGTGACACACATGGCCAATATTACAACTTCTCTTAATATTCTAGTTACAAATATGTCTTATCCAAAATGAAAATTCCCATTTTGATTTCCTAATTTTTAATATGTATTCAAAATGCTAGAAGGAACTCTCAAAATATTAAATGGAAAAGTTACCCTTAACCAAAATATTGAACATATTAAATAATTTTCCAAACCATTTTTTAAAAGTTTTTAAGCAAATTTTCCCTGTGGCTTAAGTTACCAGAAATGCTGAATTAAGCACTTAAGTCCTGTAATTTTTTGTTTGTTTTTAATGGATTCATGATCTAAAATTCTATCCCATTTTTAGTTCTGATAATGTAGAATATAGCAGTAGAAAATGTTCAACTAAGATGATTTTCCACCTCTCCAACCCAGAAATTCATATTCTAAGAAGCAAAACCAAAAAACCAAACTCATTACTGTTGACTCAAATCCAATTCATAGAGACCCTGTGAGACAAACCCTGTGAGAAACTGCCCACAGGTTTCCAAAACTGTAAAATCTTTATGGAAGCAGACTGCCTCATCTTTCTTCTGTGAAGCAGCTGATGGGTTCTCTGACCCTTCATTTAGCAGCCCATCACTTAACCATGACACCACTGGGACTATTTCTAAGGAGCAAGTTTAAAGGAAAAGCTTCTGTTGAAAATTAGTATTTCTAAGAACGGAAATGTGGAGTGAATTGCAGAGGGAAGCTCAGCAGGAAACAGAACAAGCAAAGGAAATCTCTTTCTAGTCCTTTGTGAACGAGGACTTCATACACTTACATCATTGCAGTGTTTGAAATATTGTTTAATTCACAAGTCTCTATTCATATGTAAGCTCAGAACCATTTTCTAGAGCAAGGTATAAAGGTTTATAGCATTATTCTAGGTTTTTTTTTAATGTCTATCACAAATTCCCCAACCATGGTCCTGACTATCATATTATTCTATATATACACCTATCTCAATTTATTTCCTGGTTTATTTAGTAAGATTTCTCAAAAGTGCCTAATCCTTTTGGAGAAACTATAGGGAAGCTCTTCAGAAATAAAGATGCTATCTGAGGTGGTTGGTACCAGGAAAGAGACAGGCCTGTAGCACAATAGTATCAAATCATTGTCTTAATCAACAAATGTTTCTTGTCCAATAGGTGCATCATCAGCAAAGTGCATGAGGAAGCATTAACAACGTTCTTGAGTCACTAAAATTGCACAAGTTTGTTAGTCAGCATTTGAGGTGAAGAAACTTTTTTTTGCTAGTTTCATTTATTCACCCAATATTGATTAAGCATCTTCTATGGGCCAGGCATTAAAGAATTTTCTTTCTTGAATGACTTAGTACTTTATTTTATAAAAGTGAGACTTAAAATATTGTAACAACACAATGTGATATAAATATCACTACTACTGCTACTGCTGCTGCTACTACTGCCATGACTACTACGGTTCAGTGCTGTTACTGTCATTTGCATCATTTCCTTTGATTTCCAGATGAGAAACACAATACAGATACTGCTAAACTGCCTGTGTAGAAATGGGTCAAAGGTATTTTAAAATAAGTTATCCACTCCAAAGCAGTTTGCTTATACAAAACTATGGTTTGAATGAATGCTAGAAATAGGAATAAGTATCAGAAGTTCTTGGATTTTAAAATAACTTGACAGCTTTTTTATGACTCTTACATTGTCACCCTGTTCTATTTGTGGCAGATTATTTTATATCTTTTTCCTTTAAGTAGACATAGAAATAGCAGAATCACTCAGGAAACTAACAAATTTTCTAAGACCCCAAAGAGAACTTATCTGTTAACTGGTTTAAAAAAAGTTTGTAGAGACACTCAAGGAAATTGTCTATTAAAATTAAGAAAAACTTTGCCTTATATAGAGCATTTTGAACTGTTGTTTTGAGTTACCATCAAGGTCACCATTTTGAACTAATATCTCCAAAATCTTTCTTCCAACTATGAAAGAACTAAGCTATCATTTACACGTTAGTCTTGCAACCAATTTGTACAGAAGATACTGTTGTTGTTGTTATGTGCCGTCGAGTCGGCCCCGACTCATAGCGACCCCTCCTTGGGTTTCCAAGGCAGTATCACTACGGAAGTAGGATTGCCCAACCTTCCTTCCGAGGATACTAGGGCTAATGAAAACCTAGGTCAGTTTGTGAAAGCAGTGATCCATCAATACACTGAAATAGTAGCCACCAAGGATTTTCTGTAATCAAACGGATTTGTGCTATCCCTCTGATTTGACAAGTAATTTTCCAAACTTGATTACTTGGTATTCCTGTTTTGATGTTTTGCTTTACACTTCCCAGAGACAAAGCATGTGCTGGGGAGTGATGGGATGAGTAAAGGAGCTGATAGGGACACATTTGACTTGGTCCCATTCTGTTAGAGCTCTGCAAAGTTTTGCAGTCCTGAGAATTTTTATTTTTATATTATGCTAATTAAAATTTAAACCTTTGTTGAATATCAGATGCATGAGTATTACTCAGTTTCACTATATATTAATTTTCAGGAAATTTTAATGCAATGTTGCTTGAGAGTACAAAAACAAATTGTTAACAAGTACCATTGATTCTTCTTTGCAGTGTAATAATATAAAAGTTAATGGTTTAAAACAACAAATTATTATTTATGATGACTCCATATGTTAATGAGAGGTTCTTCCACCATCATGCCTGAGTGCATTTGAATGGGTTGACTGGAAAGGCCAAAAAGTCCAAAATGTCGTCATTCACAGGGAAGTTGCTCGGTGCTAGCTATTGGCTGTGAGCTCTGATGGAGCTGTCTGCTGGACACCTCAGTTCTCCTCCTCTTTTTCCCTTCTCTGTCTCTGAAACTGTGCCATCTAACCCAGATGCTCTTTTAATATCTTCTAGATGGTATGCAATTGCTTTCCCCAGCTGCTGGGCATGTTGACTACAGACAACTCAACTGAATTCTCTCTGGGCGTAGCCTTCAGCCTAAGGGAACAATTTCTTCCAAAGTTATGCTCACTTCCTAGGGGTTGTCTATCTAATGACTGATCAGTGGGGGAGGATGCAGAAATCTGTCCCCTTTGCTTCAACTCAGAACAATGCCCAAGGTCATCGAGCCTCCTGGTAGGATCTTTGTTGCAACAGCAGCTTGGTTCAGCCTCTCTCTGTACCCAGTCCTTCTTCCTTACTTCCTGTGCTGGGTGTTTTTTGAGAACACTCTTCAATAACTTCTTGCACACATGCAATGCACATAACTCATCTCACCATCTGACCCCAGGAAACCTGACCGAAGACACTCTTTTCTTCAAATCTAGTTCTATTTACTCAGTTTTCCAAAAATAAATCTTAGTCCTGTGGGAAAACTCTGTATATTTGCTGCAAAAAGACCTTAACTTAGGCTGTAAGCTCCTCACTTATTGTCTCCATAAAACAAAGATCCTACACAGGGTTTGTCATGTAACATGATTATCAATAAATGTCAGTAAATATTTGATGAGTGAGTATTTATAAGAAGAAAAATACATCATACATTTTTATAATGTTAATGAGATAATTGACAGAAATTATATACAGAATATATTTCCAAAGTTTCTATAAAAAGAAAGAAACATTTGGGAGCATTAAAATTAATCATTTATGCATATTTAGGAAGAATATTTATAAAACTGGGAAAAAATAAGGATACTTAAATTATTAAGGTCTCAGTTTTCTCATTTGTAAAGGTGAGCTTGAAGTAGAAGAAGCGGTAAAGGAACTAGTATTTATAAAGCATCTACTTTGTTCCAAGATAGGCCTTAGTACCTGTGAGATAGATATTATTCTGATTTTACAGATAAAACTGAGGGGTACAGAGGTTAAATTATCAAGATCACACGGCTAAAAATATCCAGAACTAGATTTAAAATACAATTGTTATGACTTTGTTCTGAACCAGAAATTGTAAACAAGTCTCTCTTGCTGAAAATAAATCAACTCTAGAGGCAGGTCAGAAACAAACATCATAAATTTATATGCAGGGGAAGCACATCCATTAATAAGGTTAATTTTCTGGAGGGAAATTCTTTCCATTTCTCTATATTTAAGGAATAAAACACTAGAATTTGAATAAGCAAAAATTTTACACTTAAATTCTAGATTTTTCTAAAGCAATATATCACTTTCTGCATACATGAAGTATGAAAAAGTCCTTCTCAGAAATAGAATATTAATTTTCCTGGCTCAAGTACAAAGTGGGATCATCAGCCAAAATTCAAATCACCGTGCACTCTCCTCCTCTTCCATGATTTAGTCAGGGAGACAAATCTAAATCC